CAACATAACCATACACTGAATGTCAGGAAAATTAGGAAAAATAATAGTACAATTTCATGAAATTACAGTCTCTACTAAAGGCCAGGGCAGTAGCAGTGGCTGTACTTGTTTCTTCTGCACACAGAGCATCGGTTGTTTCAGGCGAATCGCGATAGCCTCTACTGTTTGAAGCATACATTATTTCGATGTTTTGAGCAATTTATTTGGTACCCGGTAGATGATAGAAAAGGATTCTTCACTTCTGGCTGGCTGTGTGGCCGGTTTGGACCAGGTGGTCTAATATCGAGCTGTTGATGCTTCTCACTATACCTTCATTTAGCCACACTGGTAGACGTTCTCGGGTAAGAAAAATCAATTTCCTAGAGCAACGGCTAATATAACTCGCTCTTTAAGCCCAGCTGAATTGGTAAATACAGTTAGAAGTGGCTAGTCTATCGGGTATCAAATAAATTGCCAAAAACATCCAGATACCGAATACTTCAAGTAGCAGAGACTCTCGCAATTCACGTGAAACAACCAGTGCTCTGTGTACAGAAGAAACAAGTCCAGCCACTTCTACTGCCCTGGTCGGCCTTCAGTGGAGACTATAAATTCATGAATTTGTATTATATCATTATTTTTACTAATTTTTCTGATATTCATTGTATTGTAATGTTGATGCCGTCGAACTGTAACCCATTGATATTATTATTGATTCGATTTTATTTAAACAGCATTAATGTTGTTAATAACACTAATTCATTCATTATTATGTATGTATAAATGTAGAACCTGATTATGAATTTATCGAAAAGAATATTCTTCGTTCAGTAACCATTCCTTTGAAAATATTCACCCTAAAATAGTTTTCCTTTCCTGAATTTAGGCTTTTTTTCACAAACAATTATCTATGCGAAAATCTATTCTCTAAAATCGTAAAAAAATTAGATTATGTTTATCATTTGAAGCAAAATATAGAATAATAATTCAATATACAGATGTTTACTACAAATATGCATATTTGAAAAATGCAGTTTCTCTCACATATATCTAAATTTTTTACTATACTACTAATTGACACGTGTTTTGTTTTACAGCTTTTGTTAATCTAATTAAAAGAATTGACTAAAAAATTTCGGTGTTCATACCAAACACCAACCAGTTTGCTGTTCTAAAAATACTGATGAAACTCAGTCAGCTGAGAAATACAGTTAAACTTGGTTTGACTGCATCTGCAGCAGTTCAAGTGATCCCGATTACGTCATTTCTGGAAAAAATATATCTAAAGCAAGTTGTTACTGTCACTTATCTCAGAGGTATTGTTCCGACTACAAGTTTGACACACTTGAAGATTTCAAAGCCAGTCAGGATGGGGATCTTTGAAATCTGTATAGAGATCTATTATACCTAGGAGAACCAACCAGATGCGGGCTTTTAACAAAAACGTCAAATAATTCGGAATTTCGCCTACCACGTCAGCAAAAGCAGTAAGTATTTCGGCAACAGTTGCCTTCAGTGCCTCGATAATGAAGACCAGATGGGCAGCTGGTCGTACGAAAAGGAAAAGCAATAAGGAAATCTAGGAACGGATCATCCAGCAACCTGTCACCCAACAAATATGCAGAAAGAAATGCAGACAGATGGAATGGAGATAAGCTAAAAGGTTGGTGGAGCAATGTCACATACCGGGAAGGCACTCGAGTAGAACCACAATAAGAAATGATGAGTTGATCGTTCAGCCAGCTTAAAAGACTGCAAGTAGCAGAATGAAATATCGATGTGCTTTTTAAGCTCTACGTTCCACTAGGAACCTGAGGAGGACAGTAATTACTCCTATCTGCCTACAAACAATCACTAGTAAGCTAAAGGAAATTAGACAAGAACTTACGGCATAGCTTAAACTAAAATAATTATAGGACACGACTTAAGCAAATACGTATTTCCGGTAAATTCTCAGCAGGCTTTACATCTACATAATGAAATATTAGTCGTAAGTATTTGAATTAATGTGGTTAATAAAATATAGGATCAGAGGTGTGAATTAATGGATAACAATCTGGGTGATTATAATAATAATAATAACAAGGGTAAATTCATTCAAGTGTTTATATAATCTAGACAACGGTGAGTGTATAGGTAGTATATGCATACTAGTAAGGGTAGAGGCGAAAATAACTATTGCCACATAGCGATTAGATAATATAATAATAATAACGATAAATTGTTAAACCGAGAATAAAGTGTACAACTACAGCACAGCTTGATATTGATAATACAGTTGGCATTACAAATAAAATAAAAATATAATAAGATAATATTTACAGTTATCCAGTGTCACTGGGAGAGATAACTATTTTAGGTTGATGGCGAAGGTCAAGGGAGTGAGAGAAAGAGTGAACAAACTTTTTCTGAACATAGACATTGGGTTCCAAAATCTTTATGGCAACTGCCTCAGCTATGCTTAGCAACCGAAGACGTACCAACCTAGGGAGTTGAGGTGGCACCTTGCATAGAATTGTAAAAGCTGAATTTTTGTCTTTTTGTGCCCCGTGTTAACTAGGTGTGTCAGTATGGAACTTCTGGTTGACTTTACAACTCCTCTACCTAGCCATGTTGAACAATGCTCCAGAAAGCAACGGTGGGCTTGCCGAGTCGTTCTACCTATGTAACTGTCTCCACATGAACAGTTAAATTTATAAATACACATTGAAGTGTCCAGACTCGGTAACTTATCCTTCACCTACATTGGAATTATAAAAACGAGTGGCAAATTTTAAACACAATGTTGCGGCAAAGAATGTCTTAGTTATTATTCTTTAGAGTTTGGATGCCAGTAATTCAGTTGCTGCGTCTCCTTTAGACAGTAAAATCATGTATATGCGTTTCTTCTGCACAGTTTGCAGTCATTTCTTTCTATCTGCTGTCCTCATCAAGATTTTAGCAAATTTTTCGGGGTATCGGTTCTCGTATAAAAAGTTTTCTATTTCCCTTATTTCATCGTCTAGAGTGTCGATTCTGCAGATTTTTCTAACACGATATATCAAGGTACTGATAAGATTTCCTTTGTATGCAAGAGGAACAAACGACTTGAAATGGGTATATTGGCCAACCCATGACTTCTTCCGGAAAATACCCCACTTAATACTGCCTACCATCTTGCCTTCTTGTTAACAGGAAGTCAAGAAATAATAGGATGTTGTCTTTCTCCTTTTCATATGTGAACTCAATATGTGGTTGAGGTATACTGAACTTCTGGCGAACTTTTGGAAACTAAAATAAACATAACTAACTTATTTTCTGTAGTTTGGCTTGTAAGGGTTAGTTATGTTTTTACGAGTTGATCACGGACTGATATCAGTTAGAGAACCATTGAAAACCAGGGAGTACTGCCACACAGCTGTTTTATCCTAGTTTGGGAATCATCGGTAGTACGCACCCACCCGGGATTCGAACCAAGGACCTTCCAGTTGCAAGACAAGCTCGTATACCATTCAGCCACTGGGACCCGATTCAGTTCCCAGTCCATGAATTCTAACTTCTACCAATTCATGATTTAGCGCTACCCCAACATTGTCGTTGGTGGGACATCCATCCACACACGTGACATCTAACTGGACCTCACTGGTCACGACTTCTCACTAGAACTCCAGGAAACTCCATCCTGTAGCAAGTCACTAGCGAGCATCAGATTAATTTTCTATGGTTTGGTTTGTAAGGGTTTGTTATGTTTTTACGAGTTGATCACGGACTGATATCAGTTAGAGAACCATTGAAAATCAGGGAGTACTGCCAGACAGCTGTTTTATCCTAGTTTGGGAACCATCGGCAGTACGCACCCACTGGGAATCATTTAACTTCATTCCTATTATCATAATATATTCTACGCATAAAACCACACCATAAGTTCAGCTTCACATTTTCTGTTACAATAAGAGAAAATAATTAACCCCTAATAGACCAGAAATATAATATTTTAGCCTTTTTTGTTATAGGCACTCATCAGGTCTGTTAATAAATCTAACGCATTTTCCTTGCTACCGAAAAATTAACAGGTTAAAATACATATAATTTGCACACATCTGATATATATACGTCAACCTTTTTCTTCAGTCGATCTTATAACCTTTAACATTGTACACAGAAATGTATAATCTGTATTATTGTTATAGCATACAAATAAGTATGAAAAAGAAAGTGATTAATTGACTTCCTTGATTTGGTTCATTAATTTTCTTTGACCTCCTGATGAGGGTTAATCAAAAACAAACAAACAAACAAAAAGAAAAATTAATGAATGAATCTAACTTTTGATAAATTTCTTTCAAGTTCGCCTTAACTTGAGGTTCACTTGAAGTTTCTTGCATTTTTTTATGTTTGAGATTCAGTCAGTTGGGAAATATTATTACAGAAAACTGATTTAATTAACATACAAAATAAATAAGCGATTCGATCATTAAAACTGTTATAAATTAACCTTATTTCATCTAAACCTTTTAGCTAAATTTGACTAAAGTTAATACGTATTACAGAGACAGTAACTAGTAGTGGGATTGCGTCGGTGGCACAGCGATAGAATGCTCGCCTACCATGCATGTGGTCCGGGGTGCGATTCACGGCCGACGCACTCCTTTACCTCGCCAAGCCAGTAGTAAGACTGGTAAGGAGGGAAGGTTGGGCATGAGGCTAGTAACCACATCCCGTAAAAATAAACACTACTGCTACCGAAACAACAAGCCACTGGCTTGAAGCCCACTGGGAACGTAAAGGAATAAAAAAAGTTATGAAATCTAGGATGGTTATTTCCTACTATTTTTGAACTTGTCATCTGGATGTACATGTATACCCAGTGACTGGTGGTGTTTCCACCAAGGCTTGAACCCTAAACCCAATGTTTCAAACGCTGAAGTATTATTCACTACACCACTGGGTCACGACATTCACCTCTTCTTAACCGGTATTAACTATTATCTCCTTTTAGGTTAATTTCCACTTCCGGTTGATTAATTATGTTGGACCGGTAAATGCGAAATAACCCAGGTAATACTTTGATTGAACACTGGGCAGTAGGTGACCGGTGTCATGCGTCCAATCCTTTGTAAACTGTAGACTGTATTCTATCAGTCAAGTTTACAATGTGGCCACAATGCCAGGTGGCTCACGTGACTGAAAGAATTCAGTTTGCTCCAACATCTAGAATTGGACGCATGACACTAGTTACTTACTACTCAGTGTTCAATCAAGGTATCTAATGCAGTCCTACAGGAGGGACAATCGCGAGCCACAAATAGCTCAGTTGTCACGCCTCTGACTGCAGAACCGAGTGAAATGGTCACGAATCTCAGAAAAGCCATGAATTCCTTCAAGTTGGCAGATGCGTCTTGGTGAGGAGTGCCAACAAGCATGAAGCCTGGGTGTAAGGCTTTCCGCCGATTGCGTCCAACCATCTAATAATAATCACTGACATCCACTGGACAACAGAGACTGCAGTGGCTAACGCGGGTGTAGTGGATAGTGTTCCGGTGTCTAAGATGATGGGTGTAGATCTCGACTCTTGGTGAGAACAGCATCAATTTTTGTGAATGCCGGTGTATCCAGATGATCAGTCCTGAAAAGGATGAAATGCTCATCCTGTATTCCATTTCCAGCCACCATTAACTCAAAATAACTTCATTATGATCCTTAGACTTTTTTGAAGAGTCCCAACTAGCAGCCGTCATATCAATAGAGACAGGACATTTCCGTCCAGTATAGTCAAACAACGGAAAATTAAAATTAAACTAAAATCAGTATATATATATATATATGGATTATTGAATTCCGATTTTCATTGAACTGAGAGTAAACTGATCATTCAGAATTGATATAAGAATAGAACTTGGGCACTGTGGTAGAGTATAACTTCATTATGGATAAAATTTTATTTTGATAAAATCAGTGTTATACAGTAGTATTTACTGATGACGTTTAGAGCACAATTTATTGCTCATAATGATGCTCATATGATTATAGGCAATAAAATTGTGCTCGAAACGTCATCAGTTAATATTACTACTGTATAACACTGTGAGGCTTTATCAAAGTAAATTTTACTCATAATTGAATAATCATTTAAAAATCCAACTATTCTAACCTTGATCTTTTGTGGAGATGTGAATACTCACTGTTTAGAAAAGTCGAAATAGGTCTAGACATCTGTCAGGTAGCTGCAATGTTTCAGTAATTTTCCGATTGTTACATAATCTACTACTGAAAATAATTTTCTTGTAAATCCTTAGGCATTAGTTTCACCCTTCAGAGACTCACATCAGGACTGTATGATCCTTCAGTAGGCTACATTTCTTCATTCTTTGCGTCCCGCTCGAGGCATCAGGCTTGAAATCTTTTAACGGGATAGAATTGCTAGCCTCATGCGCAACCCTTCGTCTTTTCTGGACCTCCTGCAGACCAGGGGAGACTTAGGAGTGTGTCAGCCAAGAATCGAACCTTGACCTTCAACGTGGCTAGCGAGCATTCTGCTATTGAACCACAGACTTAGTATCAAGTTATGAACTCGCAAACCTACTTCATTGTCATCAGTAGAGTACGCTGAAAGCTTGTCGAAGGAGTAAGAATCGAACTACTTCATACCACTAAAGGTATGACAATCCACATGTTAAATCTAGAACTCTGTATACAGAAGAAATCTGTTCAGTAACCTAACTGATCTCAACATTTGATATGTAACTTTTGTTGATCCAAACTTTTAGTTTGATTATTTTTGCTCCTTTTGACACTGACCTTAACATGACCATCTTTCAGTTCTAGTTGTTTTTAATCAATCTTGTCAATTGTATAGGGTCACGCAAGAAAGATCAAATCTGCAGTAAAAATGATATCATCCTATTTCACAGGTTCTCATCCACTGCAGACAATCTCTTGAAATTAAAATGGTTATGATGGTCGCTAGTGACTTGCTACAAGAAGTGAGAAGTCGTGACCAGTGAGGTCCATCCAGTCGGAAGTGAGGGTGGATTTCCCGCTGATGACATTGGTTGGTGGTCCCGCTAAATCAAGAATTGGTAGAAGTTAGAATTCATGAACAGGCCACTGAATCGGGTCCCAGTGGCTGAATGGTATACGAGCTTGGCTTGTAACTGGAAGGTCCTGCGTTCGAATCTCGGTGGTGGGTGCGTACTGACGATGATTCCCAAACTAGGCGAAAACAGCTGCGCAGTACTCCCCGGGTTTAAATGGTTCTCTAACTGATATCAATCCGTGGTCGAACTCGAAAAATGAAAAATATTTCCTTGAGTATTTGAATGGTAGTAGAGGAAATATTTTAAAATAAACGCTTCCGAAATATAAGCATAACAATTTTTAGTTTAAGTTACCTTGACTTTATATATTTTTCATAGTAGAAAAGGAAGGGAAAATGGAGAAGACATAAAACAGAAAAATCTAATAAACAGCGTTAGCGTATCAGTTTACCCAGTAACTCAATAAGTTCAATAGTTTATATGATTGAAATTCGCTCAGTGAGTTAAAATTACTCATATGAATAACTAATCGATGTAATCAAAATGCATTTACCAAGGGAGTGGGAGATTAATCACATTCTCTTTGTGTATACGTAAGTTTGGTTGAAAACGTTTGATTGCAGTCACTTCAGTAAATCGTAGCAAATTTACTGTCCGTCGTATCTTTTGTACCACAAGGTGTCTGGTAATTACACTATGCGAATATCTGCTTCCCTTTAGGTATACGTTTCTTAGAATATGCCCCGAAAACCCGAGAGAAGCCTTTCTTCCTATCCTTCCAATGTACTTGCTACCACAAGTGCTCATAAACTTATAGATGCAGTTGGAGTTGACATTAATAAGACACTTAACCAGTTTAGATTAGCCTATTGAGCTACAGGGAAATATCTTTTTACTGCTCCTTACATTCTTTTATCAACTCTTTGTGATTCTCCTTCCCCTTTGAATGGAAAACAGACAGAAACTTCCTTCTTTTCCACAGTTCGATGTTTCATTTTCTTAGCTATACTTTAGGATAAATCCCTTTGGATATCCATCTTCCCTTAGGTATTTCTCAAAACAGTCTAATTCTTCTTTCAGCTTTATGGGTGCAAATGGCTTCGTGGACCTGTTGTAGAATGTCCTCTGATAGGACATTAACTGTCCTGTAATGAAGATATTCTTCGGTCAAATTTTCTTTCTACAGATGGACGTTTTGGTCATACCATCGTTTCTGGTGTTAACACTAAGATCCAGGAAATTGAACTCACCCCTTTTCGCTCAATATTTCATGGTGAATTTAACGTCAGGGTGTATCTCATTGAGACGATCACATAATACATATAGATGTATAATAAATATCGTTACAAATGACAAACGTATCATTGACATATGCTCTTTTATATACAATCGAATTCTACTCTCTATGTATTGTGTTCAGATTAACTTACAAACCATTAATTTCCTATATTGTATGTGTCACATCACTTGATGAATTAAGATCAATTTTACGTGAATTAATGAAAGGTTTTTGTCTTCTTTTTCTTTCTTTTTTTTGCCTCCCCACATTTTAGTTTGTTGCTCATCCACATTGTCAACATCTTCTAACAACACTTTGGTATGATCAATTGCCTGGTTGGCGTAAACGTCATCCATTTACAAAATTATTTCTATGCTTCTGTTTTATTATCGCTCTGCCAATATTAGCTCCAACGTATTTAATTCATCCACATGGATGTGTTGGCCAACTGATGAGAAGTCCATTAATCAAATTTATTAATCATAGTGCATCATTTGCAATATTTATATTTCTTCTTTTGATTGCATCAACTGACACACTGACACAAACTGATTTACAAATTCGTAGTGAAATTCGAGGACCAGATCCTAATGTGATTGAAATGTTAATATTATGGTGGGTTATAGGTGAGTTAAAGAAAAATTTGTGTACATATCTCATTTTTTGTGTGTCTAAAAATCTCTCATCCTCTAATTAACATTGATTACTAGTATTTTTTTCATCGAGTGAAACATAGGGCTTCAAGGTCTGAGCTTCGAAGTTTCAGCAGCGCTGGCGTTGTCTTTTATTAGGTGAGGTTGCCAGCCTCACTCCTAACCTGCCGTTTTCCCCCTGCTAACTACCACCTACACTAGGTGAGGTTTAGAAGTGCGCCGTCAGGGACTGCGTGTGTGTCTGACGGACATTCTACTCCTGAATCACCAACACACTGGTTACTGGTGTGAATTGTTCGAATGCATCTATGATCCCTCCTACTGCAATACTGAGTAACGCTGGTTCGAATCTCAGTGAGGACATCATTAGATTTCCCTTACTGATGAGTACAACCAAACTCTAAACATTAGCGATACAAACGGAGGGTCCAAGTAAATGGACGTAAGGACCCTGATCAACCAAATGAATAAGCCAGCAGTAAAAACACTCAATTTCGAAACTCTTCTATAAACATCAAAGTCAGTGTTAAAAATAGTTATACGGGGTAACTTTCTCGTTCGTGTCACAAACAAGTTTCCTAATTCTTTATTGGAGTATTTAATGACAGCCTAAAGCTATATCTGTACATGAATTCATCCACATAACTGTGTATCTTGCTGTTTTGTAACCCATTCACTGCTCTACAGCACCCATGAACCTAAAAAAGGAACGACACACCTTCTCGGACGGATTTTCTTCAGTGACAGGCTGGACATCTGTACACATACCCATCAGCAGCAGCTGCATACCTCTGTAAATACATTACTCCTTCGCATCTACAAGCATCATATAAGCCTATTATTTCAACAGTACTCAAACACTACCTCTTGGTGGAAGTTGCAACGTAATTTATGTACTGCGTCTATATTTCATCTTTTTTATTACGGACTCAACTGATTGGTTGATCAAGGTCATTACGTTCATTTAATTGGGTCCTTCCTTAGCATCGCTACTGGTTAGAGTTGTCCAAATACGAAACCTTCGTCGAGGGCTTCCTGCTGATTGTCTTCAACCACCTGACTCCTACTTCATTATTTATCAAATATACACAGGTGGAATGTAATAAAAGCAATAGACACTGAATACTGTGCACTTTATGACGTTCTCACTTAGAAAACGTTCCTAGCTGTTAGTTACTCCATTGCGAGACTAATCAAGATAGCTTTCAACCAGTTGACTATTACTGATATACCAAGTAATAACTGAAGATGAAACGGTAATAATATGGGTTTAGGCAGTATTTGAACCAGTAGCCTCCAGACTGTACTGAAATGGCAACCTGCTTACCTGTTAGGTGCCGTAACTGCGCTGTCATCTACTCCTTCAGAGATACAGCCTAAAGTACCGTACATATACTGGAATATTTGAAACCACTAAAACTCAGATATTTAGGTCTGAAGGCGGTAATGCGTTCTCCCGTATAATTTGCCAAACTTCCACGAGTAATGCACAGTCCACAACTATACTTCAACAATATCAAAAACATACTTTGATGTGATAAAAACTGTAGTAACACTCAACAATAACAACTTACATCAAAAATACAATACTACCCCAACAGTGTCGTCCAAACGTTTCTCAGCTACAAAAAACCTACTGCACAACAAAATTAATTGGCCAAACACAACAGCGAACTATTTGAGAATCAAGATGGAATTCCCGTCTCTCTTTCAGTAAGAATCAAACAAAACAGAACACCTTCTCATTGAACCGTCAAAGGTCAAATATCAAATCACGGAGTAACTTTGACTTTACTCAAACAAAATCGTGGTCTCAAAAGCAGTAGTTTATTATTAACACCATCATACAACAGCAAACAGAAGCAACCGAAAACAATGAAAAATAATAAGGATTAAGTCAAAGGACGATTTGTAAATGTCAGAAGAATGATATACACCTTAGCGGAAGAAAGGCCTGGAATTACAAAGTTAGCTGACATATCCAAATCAGCATAAATATTGTAAATAGACTATTCGTGGTGGAATTTCCAGACATTTCATTTCACTACAGTACTATGTGGCTGAGTAATACTCAGAAGTGACTACTGGCTAAAATAAGTCATAGTGAAACAGTAGAAGACGACAGACTTGGTAAAGGATTGTTAATTTGCGAGTGAGTTTCTCTATATAGCCAAATTATGTACACTTTATCTTCAAAGCACCATGCGCAAAGAATTTCCGTGTTGTGCTATTTCTTCTCTTCATATTGTCTTTCTTTATGTTCCTTTCACGTCTTTCATATATCTCCACAACGCTGTATCGTTTACTTTCTTTGACATCAAATGTATCTCTCTGTTATTTGATGTTTTTTACGCCGATGAATGTCTCTACTGACAAGACTTATCAGTAACACAAGCCACAATAGTCCTGAAAGATATTAATTCCTCTTTGAGATACCCCATCTACTACCTAGAAGGCAGTCTGACTTGTCTCAAAATATATAATATATCACAGTTAAGTGGTCTGATATATTTCAAAACACAAAGAGTGATTGGTTTCCTATATTTCCCTTCAATCAATCCCATTACAGATGAACCAAGATTATTGAACAGATTACCAGCTTTTATATTTTCCATGAGGAAATGAGATTATGCCTCCTCCCTGAGGTAAACAGTGAAATGCTTTTAAGCAATGTTTACAAATCTGACTTTAATCGAATTAAAGGATATAGAAAAATTAGAGAATCCTTTCGTTTCTATTAGCTTTTAATAAAAACACTGAAAAGAAACCGGAAATTTCGTCATTTAACGTCTCATCCTATTCGACGCAAAAATTTTAAGCTACGTGGGTGGAGTTTTTAGATGTTATACTTCCTCTAGTTCATTGTTTGGTGTTTATTTATAGTGAAAACTGTCTTAAAATAATTACATAGAACTAACAGTTTATAAAGTGTAACTACTACTCAGTTCGCTCACACCACTGTTGCAAAAGGTTTGGAAGAAAGAAAAGGTGCCAACTGATTAGAAGAAGGGCTGGCTACCTCGTCAAACTGCCAAAGAACGGCGACTTAAACCTCTGCAAGAACTGGTATGAAACAATACTCTTGTATACACATGCCAAGTAAAATACTAAATCGCATCATCCTGGAGAGAATAAAAGATGCACTGCATACAGAACTATGCCCCTCTGCTATCGAGAACAATCTGGATTCAGGAAAGGCAAATCATGTATTGATCAAATTGCAACTCTACGCATCGTTATCACCGAACAAAGCATAGAATGGCAGTCAAACCTCTACCTTAATTTCATCGACTTCGAAAAGGTCTTCACCAGACAGTGTTGACCGAGACATAAGTTGGAAACTACTACAACACTACGGTGTGCACTACCCAAGTCTTTATCAACCTCATTCAACAGCTAGCTATATGACAGTGCCACCTGTCACGTGCTGCACAACGGAAAACTCAGCCAGGTGTTCATACAGGAGTAAGACAAGCTGGTTAGCTGTCTGTTATCACTGATGGTATTCTTAATTGTGGTGGACTGGATTATGCGTCAGACTGTTGGCAGTGAGAAAACAGCAATACGCTGGACCACCGATAAGAAGACTCTAGAAGATCTGGGTGTCGCGCGTGGATGATATACGTCTAATTTCACATAAACCAACGAACTGCCGAAAGAGTCAAGCAACGAAGAAAGGACTCCATGTGAACATAGAGAAGACGGAGGTGATAAAGATAATAATAATAATAATAGTATATTCTCATTTTTTACATGAGGGACGCCAGTTTACAGGCATCATCAATTCGATAAATTACACATACGATTAGTAATTACAGTTAGTAATGATCATATAATAAGGTACATATTTATTCATTCAAATATAGGACACACAAGTTGTATGGGAATGGATAAGAATTATTTAAGTTAAATATTTAAATTACATGATTTACGGTTCAATAACATGGTTGTTGTCATTTTATCTTTAGTTTGTGGGGAAAAATCAGATAACTGGTGATTCAATGGAACACACCAAAAAAATATAGAGATATTGACTTCGCATTAACAAAAAAAACCCAAGTGCTGGTATCAGATAACCAACGAACCGCAACAACAACCACCAGCATCAATCACCATCAACGGGACAGATTTAACAGAGACTACCTCCTTCAATTATCCAGGAAGCATCGTTTCCACCACAAAAGGAACAGATGAAGATGTCTTAGTCAACCTGAAACCATTTTGGAAATCTCGGATTTTCAACACCAATATGAAGTCCTTCCTTCTAAATGGGTCAGAAACTTGTTGAGTCACGAGAAGGACCTCCAACAGGTCACAGAATTTTATCAACAGCTGCCACCTTCACTGCCTCTATAGTGAAGATCAAATGGCCGGTGGAAAGAATTAGTAACAATAAACTCCGGCTGGGAATAAAGCAATTAGCGAGAGCCGATCACTCAGCAGTTATGTAGGAAAGAATGGAGATGGATTTGACACGCATTGATGAGACCTTCGAATGATATCGTGCGCAATGCAGACCATCACTCGACTGGAATCTGAATGGGAAGCGTCGATTGGGTCGTCCTAGGGTGACGTTGAGGAGGCTGTGTGGGCAAGAGATGAGAAAATTTGGGCAATCGTGTGGCCATCCAGCTGAAGAGGATGGTAGAAGATAGGACGAACTGGGGATGTGTTGTTGAATCCTTATGTTCCACTTGGAACCCAAGGGAACAAAAACAATAAATGATACTACTCATTTCACATTTTCATATAATAAAACAAAAATGGTTCTTTATGCACAAAACTAACTGGTTTTACCTTGTATGTACAACTTATAAAATTCAGTCGACTAAGTATTAAGAAGGTAGAAAGTATTTGACAGGAAATGAGAAGTTCAGCAAAGTGATCTTTTTAGCATCTCAAAAAGTGATTCCAATAGGCTACAAACTTTCAACAGCTGCCTTCGATGCCTCGATACCGAAATTTAAATAGCCGGCTGACCAGAAAAGATAAGTTACAAGAAACTCTGCCAACAAAGCAATCGAGAACCTTCCGCCAACAAAGATGGAGTGTACATGTACTGAGAAAACTGTTGAGTGATGCCACGCACCAGGCTCAGGTCTTGAGTGGAACCCGAATAGGAAACGACGAGTTGGGCATGGGTCTAAAGGTGAAATGCAGGAGATCATGTAAAGGGGAGGAAATGAAAGCATATGGACATTCATAGAACAAGAGACCAGAGCAAAATAGGAGATGTGCTGCTGAAGTTCCATGTTCCAAATGGAACCTAAGAGAATAATAATATTCCCTGTAGCAATACAATCGTAATCTCTATTTTTCTTCCTAAGGCAGCACAGTTAGGATTAGTATTTAATTGAAGTTACTAAAACATGTGAAAATCAAAGGATATCAAAACTAGAACGGTAAAATATGCGTACATATTCCGACTGTACAACTAATTAGGACATAATCGCCAAGAAACTGCATCTTCTCTGAATTTCTTGTCTTCTCTATAAAAGCAGTTGTCTCAGGTGATACATACATCTCACAGTAAAAAGGTAATTCTGCTGACATATGGAGAAAAAAAGCTCGTTTCTAGCTGTATTCTTTTACTTATCAGAACAGTTTATAATGAAAAGGTGAGCCGCTGAAATTTCACTAATGTTACTATGTCAAACGTTATGCTACGTTCCGTCATACAGAAACGGTAGAAGATGAAGACATGGTAAAAGAATGTACCTTATCTTTAACGCACCGTGTGCACAGATCTTAGTGTTTTGGTACTTCTGGCCTTCATATTATCCTTTTTTGTTCGTTTCACGTCTCCCATGTACCTCTACAATGCTGTATCATTTTCTTTCTCTGAAATCGAATGTGTCTCCCTGCTATTTGATGCTTTTTTATGCCGATGAACGTCTCTACATATACTACTGACAAGTCTTATCAGTAGCGCTGGCCACAATATAGTCCTCAGCAGTGACGCACAAGACTTGGGTTCGATTCCTGGATGATGCACCCTTAAGCCCCATCGAGTTTACTAGTCAGCAGTTACCTCAGAAAAGACAGAAGGTTGAGAGTGAGGTAAGCAATCCCACCCTGTAAAAAAGCAACACTGTCGCTACTGAAAGTCTAAAGATTTCAGCCCTATGTTCCACTTGGAACAACAGGTGTAGGTAAAAGTATGTTATATGATGTCCATGATGAATCCAATCTAGCTATGTAGATTTCTAATGTCATCATCTTTTCAACAAACGACGTAATCTAATTAAGAACACACTCTAATGTATAAATTATCTTAGTGTTGAATGATATTTCATTGAAGATAATCTTCTCTATCGACAAAGAGCATCTCAAGCAAACTACAGACCTTCATCAACAGTTGTCTTCCCTCAATACTCAAGATCAGATGGCCAGCCAGAAAAGATCAGCAACAGAGATCTCTGGCAATGGGAGAACCAACCAGGAACCGATTGTGAAACAAATAGGCAGGAAGAAATGGAGATGGATTGGTCATACTCTGAGGAAACCATCAAATGACATCACTAGACAAGCCATGGCTCGAGTGGAACTCGAAAGGGAAGCGGCGAGTTGGTCGTCAGTGCAAGGGTGACTTGGAGGAGGTCATGTGAAGAGGAGATGAAAACGTTTGGACATACATGGAGCCAGGTGAAAACTCTAGCAGAGAACCGAACGCCCTATGTTCCTCTAGGAATTAAAGGAAACAATAATAATCGAAAAAGTCATAACATCCAGCCATAAAGATGACTCAGTATTATTCGCATCTTTCATTCATCTTCTGATTGAATGCAAATGCAATGATGAAGTGATTAGTACACTCAATAATCCTGTGATAAATAATTTTACATAAGTCTAGATAGTAAGATTGAATTATCTGTATTGTTATGATTTAGGTAGAGGAATTTACGATCTAGAACATAAAAGACAATTTAGCCAATAAAATTCTCTTTGTTGACGAAATCATCCTCATGAACTATACAATCGTATTTATATTTACCAAAAACATAAAGCAGTCTATCACTGAGTAATAAGGAGGTAACATAATTGATACAACCTCTCAGGAGTAGTTTCTAAAGATAAAGAATTGCGTAATGACAAAAGACACAATGGAAATAAGGGTTTAAAACTTGACAAGGTGAAAATTGTTATTCGATTAACTAGAGAGACTGATACAAATCCACGGTGAAAATGGATATTTCACAAGGTTCTTCAAAAAAAACATGAAAATAAAACAGAAGCCTGAATTAATCCGAACGATAATCAAAGAGACTGATTTTTTATGAATACTGAATTCGAAGGTGATACTCCAGTTGAAATTCTGACGAACAACTTACCGAGATCGCTTAGGAAAAATTATTTTTTTGTTGGATCAACTTCTGCAGTCAGTAAATAATCCATTGATATGTGAAGGACAAACTGACGGTTTGGGTCACTCCAATGTGTGTGTTTATAAATTCATCTGCTTCTGTGGAGTCAGTTATATTCCATCCATGAAACACGAACTTTCTAAAACGCATCTGAAATGGTTATCAAGATGAAAATGCAAGACAATTATTGGCTCAGTTTTTCAGTATCTAGCGAACTCAGACCACGCATCTTCACTCGATTTCTCTTTTAGAAATACCAACCTGGTAAGGTTGAATCGTACAAATGGTGTTAGGTCCCCACAATTGAGTATGACAGATGCTGTAAGAATTCGCCAACTCATCCCCAAATTACACCTACAGAAAAAGCATTTTTCAGTGTCTTATTCTATCAAGGTCTTATTTTCTTTACAGGATTTCATCATCAGCTGACATCGAACAGCTATGTCGTCCTAGTTGGGTACGATTCACGATATAGCGCTACCACCAGCCAATGTCATTGGCGAGTATTAGTCCCCACGCCCGACCTGCCGTACCCCACTGGTTACTACTTCCCACTAGAACCCAGGTAACTACCTACTAGTCCAGTACTCCCAAGTTTTTCAGTGGTCCTCTTAACCAATGTCAGCTCATGAAGAAATCCTGTAACCAATCAAACCCCTACAAATTAACCCTTTTAATTCCTTTCTTAATCATTTGCTTCTAATTTTAATAATTAATTCACCATTATAACTCTTACGTTTTCTTTTTGTTCTCATCTTCTTCACACTAGTTAAGTGAACACTCAACTACCTTACTTCTAGTTGAATAACAATTTTCACCCTATCGAATTTCAAAACCTTCATTTCATTCTGTCTTTGTTATTTTTTTAAATTTTACTCCTTTGCGTTTTCAATGGGACATATGGCTTCAAGCTTGAGCACTGAAGTCCCAGTAGTAGTGATTTTATTTTTATGGGATTGGGTTGCTAGTTTCCCACCCAACCTTCTCTCTTCACTTAGGCTTATCTCCAGCTAAGAGAGGTTTAGAAGTACGTTGCCGTTTGGATCAAACCCTGGACTACATGCATGGTTGGTGAGCATCTTACCGCTGCAACACAGATCAATATGTAATTTCTTATCTTCAAAAACCACTTCTAAGGAATTTTATCAACTATGTCCCTGTTACTCAATAATCGACTACTTTAATTTATTTGGTAAATTTAAATACGATTGTACATCCTCTGAAGATGACTTGTAAATCTCGAAAACTTGCTTCAGTGAATTGTATTTTACTTTTTTGTATAAGTCATTAGATATTTAACTAAACTATCAGCTTTGTATATATGTATTTATTTTTATTATTATTCCCTTCGGTTTCGGGTGGAACATAGGGCTTCAACAACACATCCTACTTCGTTCTTTTGGGCACTGTCCTCTTCAGCTGGCTGGACACACGATTCCCCATAATCTCTCATCTCCTCCTCACCACATATTCTCCGCTATGTCACCCTAGCACCAACGACCCATTCAGATTCCACTCGGGCGATTGTCTGCAATGTGCACGATTTCATTTGATGGCCTCCTCAATGTATGCTCGATTCACCTCCATTTTCTCCTACATATATGTCGAGTGATTGACTGTTAACTGGTTTGTTACCAGCCAGAGTTATTTACCGCAAACTGTTTCTGACCAGCTGGCCCTTTGGATCTTCAGTATGGAGGCAGCGAATTGGGCAGCTGTTGATTAAAAGTCTGCTTTTCATGACATGCTCAGATTGTGATGCGTTTCCAGTCTTCTTCACCTTTTTTTCATTCTGTCTATTGTCAATTTTTCTTTTAGGATTTGTATGGAGTGAAATGAAACAAATATGGGAAGAAGGTCTTAAAGCTTACGTTCGCCAGTGGTGGAATTGGCTAGATTTTTTAATGCTTGGACTTTATTTAACTACTGTTGCACTTCGTGTAGTCGCAGTACTCCTGCGTAAAACTAACCAATACGGGACAGAATCACTGCCACGGAATCAATGGCCACCGACTGATCCAACTTTACTTAGTGAAGCTTTGTTTTCTATTGCACATATATTTAGTTTTGCAAGAATTATATTTCTTTTTCAGGTAAGCAATTTATTTTCATTCTTTTTGTGTGTGTTTCGAGTGGAATATTGAGTTTCAAGTTTTAAAGTTTTAGTAGAAGTGGTTGTGTTTTTGTTTATGGAGTGGGATTGCTAGCCTCACAGTTAACCGTTCCTCTTTACCTGACTTACTATCGGTTAGCGATTTAGGAGAGGTTTGGGAGTATTTTTAAATTTGGTCTAAACTTCAGTTAGAGAACTACTGAATACCGTGGAGTACTGGACATTTTATGGTCTTAGTCTGAGATTATCTAGCAGTATGCGCCACACTACCCCACGGGGGATCGAACCCAGGACCTTCAAGTTACAAAGTGAGCTCAACGTCCATTTAGCCAAGGGGACGGAATTCAGTGGCCCATGAATTCTAACTTCAGTCATTTAGCGATATAGCCAATGTCACTGGTGAGTGTCTTCCCATACTCCTAACTTAGTTGACTGCCCTAATCATGACTTACCACCATACCTTCAGCCAACTTCATCCGGTATTAAGTCAGCAGTGAGTACTAGATTGATTTTCAAGTGTTGGTTTGCAGTGATTAGGAGTCTGTCGAGTGGGAATTGAAGGTGGACCACTTCCGTACCTGGCTGACATTTTACCATGGAACCACCGAGAATGCATTAAATTTCAGTAAATAGATCATGTGTTTCTGTTTGACAGTTTTACTATTTATCGATTAAAATAAGCCCAATCCGAATAGGAAAGTTTGCATAGAATACAGAGTAAACTTTATACTCTTATTTTGTATTCACTTCAATATAAAACGTATTGGAAAAACATGGAAAAAGTAAATATTGTTTCACTGTATGCATTTCCTTGAGACTGTTCTTAACACTAAAGAAGATTTCTAACTTCGGAGTTCTGAAACCCACAGTAGATCTTGTTAAGTCTAGGGTTTACAGCCTGTTGATTCTCAAGTTTCTACTAAACTTCAGAAAAAGTAAAATCGTAGTTGGCAGGGTATCCCAATACATGGGATAACTGTTTATGAAATTTTTAGTACAAAGTACCACTACATGAAGTCTTCATGTGGGTCTCCGAATGTACTCCTGAGTATTTTTTTAATTGTCTTTCAAAAAAATGGTGTGCATTCCTCGAAGAGGAGGAAGAAAAAATATCATATGAGATCGGTTTGCGCTTCAGGTTAGATAGCATTTTATCATGCAATCTACTGTCAATTACTATTATACTTAAAGATCCTGGTGAGGAGGAACTAGTATACAATAAATTCCTCTGAGACTTCTGTTCATTATATAAACATTGTCCAGAATAAAGCCATTATTATTTAGTGCTGTTATCATCGCTAAAGACTGAATGTTCTGTAAACTCCTTTCGTACCGTGAGACAAATTCTGAGATAAAATTAACTGTTGAATACATTATCTAACATAGCTTCAGTAGTCTAACCAGAAAATGGTCCATGTGTAGATCTAAAAGAATGTCGACATGCTGGCTAGTAGAGTAAGCATTATTCGATAGTCTCAGTGGGAGGATATTTCCGTAGCTTACAGTGCTCAACATTCCTTTAATGTATAAATCATTAGAGTGTTGTTAGGAAGCACTAACATTTGATCTAAATGGTGAACTACTAAAGGTACATTGTTTAATATTCCCACTTTTCATATTGACGTTAGACATGACACTAAATAGATCACGTATTGTGGATTTACAGATAGAACTGAAGCAAAACACTAATACACTCATCAGTACCACGTGTTATGCTTTTTGTCATATTTACTTCTGTGTGTCTAATGATGATAATAAACGCACTATCTTAAACGTTCAACTGAATGGAACTGCTTTTATATAAAAAAGAAACATTAATTTGACATGTCGGTTCAATCTTTCCTATCTCTTCTTCTGATGAAGACATAAAATATGTTCTTCCTGTATTAGATAATTTTTCTCTAATAGCCTAAATAAATTATGTCTCTTCAGAAAACCACTTCTTTGTACTATTTGGTTATGGGAATTAGTCGACTTTTTGTGTCGCCTAGACATTATACTTGATTTAGTATCCGTAAACAGTCGTGAAAAAGGCTACACTGGTAAGTTTTGTGCTTTATATTTCACATAATTTACCTAATATATATATATATGGCGGAATAAACGAGTAGCCTTTAGTGTGTGTCCTTAGGAAAACCAGGCAGATATGCCATTTTCAAAATGTTGCCAAATGTACGCCGAAATTTACCTACCAATAAACTACTAGATATTATCGTCGCCAATATCACATCCTATCTCAAATTCTATCTCAATATATATTCTTTCCAGACGAATACATTTTATATAATAATAATAGCTTTATTCTGGATAGTGTTTATATAATGTACAGAATTTCCTTCGGCGTTTATTTCATGACATCTTCTCTTCGTCCACGATCTTCAGATGAAATATTAATTGGCTGGAAGATTTCATCATGAGCTGACATCAGTTAGAGAACCATTGGAAAACCAGTTGAGAGTACTGGACAGTCATTTTGCCCTGGTCTGGGACCCGGTGGTTGCGTACTGATGAAGAGTCCTAAACTAGGACGAAACAGTTGGCTGTCCAGTACTGCCAGGATTTCCAGTGGTTCTCTAGCCGATGTCAGCTGATGATGAAATCCTGTAACCAATCAAACAAAAAAATCCCTACAAAACCAATACTTGAAATATTAATTGACAGTAGATCATGTGACACAGTCTTATCTGACCTGAAGCGCAAACCAACCCAATATGATATCTTTTTGCTCCTTAAAGAAATACTCGACTTTAATTTGGAAGCTAATTTAGAAAAGTGTTAGATTACAATTTGAGAGCCAAGGATATAATTTAGGAAGAGTTATCTCATGTATTAGGATACGTCGCCACCTGCGATTTTGGTTTTTCTGAAGTTTAGTCGAAACTTGCGAATCAGTAGGTTGCAGATATTTTAAATACTCTCAAGAGTAAACAATACCATTAGAGGTCATATTTTAATAGATTAAAACAAAGTGAACGAGGGAAATTATACGCAATATAATGATGGAGGTTTTCGATAGCACAACTTTTAAACAGGTCACCACATCTAGAAAGTCTTAACAAACTCATTCCTTCACAAGAAGTCTAGAAAACATGAAAAATAGATGTATGAGGTGAATGATAGCCCTATAGTTCAAAGTATAAACTACAGCAGGTTAAAATATAGACTTATTACTACTAATTCTTTCTTTCCTTTAAAAACAGTGAAGATTAGATGTTTGCTTCTACTTAAGTCTTCAAAAAACACTGTCAGTGATACAAAACAGTTTGAGTAAAACTGCAGGAGATGTAATTTTGATGCGACTATTGTCTATTTTTTTCCTTCACGTTCCCCAGTGGAACATAGGGCTTCAAGCTAGTGGCCTGAAGTTTCTGTAGCAGTGTTTTATTTTACAAGATGGGGTTGCTAGCCTCATGCCAACCTTTCCTCTTTACCAGCATTATTTCTGGCTAAGCGAGGTAAAGGAGTGCGTCGGCCGGGTATCGAACCCCGGACCATGTGTATGGTCGACGAGCGTCCTAACCGCTACACCACCGACCCCTATTGTCTATTACCATAACAATATTTCCAGCCTAGACAAAGATACGACGTATAACCGCCACGCCTTTGAGACTACATATTCGCTTTTGATTCTATCCATAGGGCAACTCTTGGATTGAAAGTTAAAGTTAACTTTATTTGTTACCCTAACATGTTCATTGATTTTTCTCAGATGAATAGTTTTCTATGTAAAATTGATCAGTTGCCTATCACAAATGGTTTCAAACTAAAACACCTTTAAACACGAGACTATTAAGTTTGATTTTATATGTGATCAAGACTTGTGTATGTTCTTTCATTCCCTTTTAATTCTGTAATATTCATAGTACTAAAACCTTAAAACAAAATTTAAGTCGAATGTTGTCAGTCTTGATCAAGTTTTCAAGTATTGGTTTGTAGGGATTTGATTGATTTGTTACAGGATTTCATCATGAGCTGAAATCGGTTAGAGAACCATTGGAAAACCAGCTGGCAGTACTGGACAGCCAGCTGTTTCGTTGGCCTCATCAGTACTCACCAGCCACCCATGTTTCAACCCCTAACCTTCTGGTTACAAGGCCAGCTAGCTTGTAGACCATTAAGTCACTGGGACCCGATCCAGTGGCCAACCCATGAATTCTAACATCTGCCAAGTGATCAAATTTTATTTTTCTGATCTTTATTAGTCAGATTATGTCTCATTGAATTCCCAAACATCATTCGTCTGGGACAGCACATAAAATACCTGATAATCTAATGTATAACTCATTCGCTAACTTCGGAATTTGTCAACACTTGTGTCTTTTCTTCAGTAGAGAGTTTCTCCCTTCAGCTACATTCCAAAAATATGTCATTAATATTGTAAGTTTTAGGTAACAATGAGGTAGTACAAAAAGCATTAATCGGGTAGAAAATCAAGTGAATAAATTTCGTTAAAATGATTGGGTGCCAGTTGAACTCAAACTGAAAGTGAGTCAAGTTAAGATCAGTGTCATAAGAAACAGAAATTTAAAAAAACCTGAGATTAATAAAAATTACGTATTATATGTTGAGATAAATTAGGTTCATTGTAGGTAATTTTCATCAATCCTAATCTTCTAACTTTTTCAATTTGATTATTTTTCTCCCTTGCCACTACCATATTTCTACGCTTTATGACACTGATCTCAACGTGATTCTCTTTCAGTCTTAGATGAACTCTACTCATTCCTGTCAGTTATATAACGTCACGCAATTTACCCATTTAATCTTACTTTAGTTTCTACGCAATTAGTGCTTTCTGGATTACGTATCTAAAAATTATAATTCTAATGACACATCTTTGGGAAAATTTGCATATTTCACGCACTTTCCTTATTTTCTGCATTATTTTATTCCTATTGGGTAAAGACTATTTTACACAGAGTAGTACTTTGAAGGTTGTCAGCAAAGTTCCTGATTTGTCTTCAATCCAAGCAGCTCATC